ATAACGTGATGAATATGATTTTTACACTGAGCAGCACAAGTTCTGTGTCCAGAGAGCTAATTGAAAACTTTTCCCCCCTTTGGTCAATCTTATTGAAAGGATGATGTAATGATATTACAGAAAACTTTAATAACATGACCGTTTTCACTTAGACATAATCCCCTCCAGACTTTGTCCATTTTCATGCATTTAAAAAAATATACGGTACCTACAGTCAGAGTGAACATACCATTTTGCAAATAAATGGGAGTCTTGGTAGGAAACGAGATGAATTAGTGTTCTATGGAGGTGTCTTTCTCACCCAGACCCTGTGGCTCTATCATCTGGATTTTCTCTCTCTCTTAGTTTTGGCGTGACTAGTCAGAGGTCATTTTTTTTCTTCCTCCTCTGTTCTCAGCACTTCTTAGAAAGAAAAATATGAGTCCCCACCCTGCTTTATCTTTATAAGCTGGAATGTGATTGAAATGTGAGCGCTGGAGGAAAGTGGTTAGAACATTACAAGAACATATTTTCTGCCGGTCACCTCCTTTTAGATAAGAGGGTCATTTCTGTCTTCCAAAGGATTAGAAATAACCCAAACCTTAGATTTTTAGAGTTTTTAATTCAGTGACCTCACCCATCACACTTCACATATCACTTACTCTTTCCCAGTTATCATTCACTTATCACCTCCTACATTTCCTGTTCCGCCTGCATGCACTTTCTCACGTGAACACCGTCCACTCTAGCCTGCTGGACTACATGTGGCCTCCTGGGTACTCTGTGTCCTCGACATTCCTTTGTGCCATCATTACCATGTCGGGGGAGGCAGCAGGGAAGAGTGGGTAAAACCTGAGAGAGTCTGGGTTCAAATCCTGCCTCCACTGCTTGTTAGCTCTCTACCTTGTTCAAATCACCTGTAAAGTGGGAACAGTAATAGAGCCTACCTCATAGGTTATTGGGAAGAGTAGAGTTAATACCTGTAAAGCAGTAGAACAGAACTTGGAATGTAGTAAGAACTCAGTAAATATTAGCTGTTATCTGAATTTATTCTAGTCTTCAGAGACCACACAACATCCTACCTCTTACCTGAAATCTTCTCTGACTAGTCTTGCCCAGCCCACAATGATCTCACACTCTTTTGAAAGTATAACACGTTTGATACTTACTCAAATAGCACCTTGAGACAGCTGCAGAATAGAAAGAAACACAATATCTGAGTTCAGATCTTGACACTGTCACTTACTGTGGGACTTTGAGGGAGTTACTTAAGTCTTGGTTGTGTCATCTGTAAAATGGATACTATAATACAGGGTTATTGTGAAGGCTAAATAAGATAATGCTAGAGAAGTATCTCATACAGGTCCTGACTCATGGTAGATCCTCAATAAATGCACATGATCTTTTAAAAAACATTATTTAGAGTTTTGTTTTCTGGATTGTAAAAGTAGAATCATTGTAGAAAATTTAGATAACACAGCAGCATATAGAGAAGATCAGAGGCCGGTCCCGTGGTATAGCAGTTAAGTGCATGTGCTCCGCTGCTGGTGACCCGGGTTCAGATCCTGGGCGCGCACCAATGCACTGCTTGTCAGGCCATGCTGTGGCGGCGTCCCATATAAAGTGGAGGAAGATGGGCACAGATGTTAGCCCCGGGCCAGTCTTCCTCAGCAAAAAAAGAGGAGGATTGGCATGGATGTTAGCTCAGGGCTGATCTTCCTCACAAAAAAACAAAAAAAAAAAAGAGAAGAAGATTAAAATAAGCCCATAAACTTCTTCCAGGACACAACAATTTCCCCAGCCAGTAACATCTACCTTAGAAACTAAAACACAGCTGGATTTATTTCCCTTAGTCTTTTTCTGTGTGTCTGTGCAGACAAACATATTTTAAAAAGAAAGGAATCCCATTATGTACCAATTTTGCAACCTGCTTTACTTTACATAGACATTTCCCCATCTTATTTAATATTCTTCAAAGTCATGGTTTTCATGAGTTGTATAGTATCGCATGTACTTAAATACTTAATTTATTTAATCATAACCCTATTGTTGGACATTGAGGTTATATTCAGATTTTAGCTATTCTAAAGAATGCTGCATCAAATATTTTTGTATAGGCATTTTTGTAAGTATCTTTGATTATTTTGTTAAGATAAAGTCATAAGAATAGAAATACTGGGCCAAAGAAAACACATTAAAGGATCCTGGTACACATTGCCAACTTTTGTCTCCCTAAAAGGCTGTATAAATTACGTTCCTATTGACAGTGACCAGGGGTGTCCATCACCGCTCACCCTTGCCAGTGCTCTGTTGCGTTGTTGTTTAACTTTTTGTCTGCTTTATCTATTTTCTTTCAACCTAGATCGCAATCTCCCTGAGCAGGCACTGTGGGCATCTGCTTCTTTATATCCACCACAGAACTTTGCTTGGTGTCATTCACATAGTAGCCATCATTATTTGCCAACTATAGAATTTCTATTCACTACTATCCCTCTGGGGTTAAGAGCTAGAAAAGGTACTCGAACAATCACTTTCAAATTGGTCAGATTGAGAGAGAGGTTTATATACTTGCCCTTGGTCTTCCATTGACATGAGTTGGGTAGAAAAGTATTAAATCACAGGTAATGGGCTCATGTTCAGGAGACTTGGAGAAGGGAATGAGTCCAAGAGAGAAAATGAGGTGTTTTTCAGGGTCAGCTCTGCAGCATGTTTGAAACTGACTTTCTGCGCTGCTGTCCATTCTTTCATAACTGGGTGTGGAGAGGGGCGGGATCTGCTTTTACAACTCAGCCATGTAGCAGAATGAGTGGAATTTTCCAGATGGTTTCCCTTGATGGCTGTTGGCATAATCGTAGGTTTGCCCTCTGGGAACTATTAGGCTGTGGCCCCTGAAGCCTAGACAGCTGTTTCAGCACGTCCGATTGTGGGATCCTTTTTTTTTGTTGGCATGGAGAGCCATGTAGGATTTCAAACCATACTGTTTTTATTTTCCTTGTACTAGCTCCCTACTAAATACTTTAAGCAACGGGGCTAAAGTGAGGAAAGTGTGTTATTCTCCCCTTCCTTTCCCACCCCCAACACACATACACACACACCACACATACACACAAATACAGTGACCCAGTGATTCCCTGGCATTAGCCACCTTTCTGAATGCCAGATCTGGGGTCATCTTCTGGGAATAACACATTGCTTTAGAATTTGTTCGAATCTACATACACACTGTGAAGATGAATTGATACTTCCTCTCCCCTAGCCCCAGAGCCCTCTCTTCTGGGATAGTTCTCTTTCTGTTTTCAGGTAAAGAGGCTTATACTGTGAAAGCTTGCTATGGATTAGGGGGACATCTGAGCCCTTAATAATATCTCTTGGTGTTACAATTTTACCTGCCCATTTGTGAACTGAAAACCAATTTCATAATACCCATAAACATAAGCACAGTTACCCCAAGAGGCAGGAGATGTAAATTAAAGGGGTAAATCTGGACTGATACATATTATCATGGAGAGAGAGATGGTTTGCCTTACTGTGATGGGCCAGTTTGCTTCTCTTTTGTCTGTAGCTATCAAAGAGGTTATCTGTCAGAGTCTCCTTTCCTTAGAGCTGTAGTTTCTTTAATCTTTAGGTTGGAAGACTTCTCTTACAATTAAGAATCGTCACTGTGGCAGATATGGTGGATCAGCATGCCAACTCCTAGTGTGCAGAGGTTGGAAAATGTAAAACTTTATTTCCCAGACTCCGTTGTAGTTAGGGTTTTGATGTGATTGAGGCTCTGCTAATTAGATGCACTTCTTTAAGACTTGGATGTAGGAGCTGGGTCCTGTGTGGAAAGAGGCAGGCCAACGGGTACCCATATTTGCTAGTGTGGACTGTGCCATGGGTTGTGTGGTTCTGGAGCCGCCAGCTGTAGCATGGCTTCCCAGTTCAGCAGGCAGCTTCCTGAGCCAGCAGCTCCCTTGGTGGCCCAGTTCTATGGCACGGATTTGGGAGTCATTCGGGGGGCAGTTTCATTAGCTAGCCAACTCCTCTCCTCCATTTAATATCTTGTAATAAATCCCTCTTTGTAAACTTGCTGATATAATCCTATAGCTGCAAAGCTAGGAGTTACCTTACCTTGTTCATTTGTTGGCCAAGACAAAATAAAATGGTCAGAATTTTATCTTTGACCTTGAGTTTATTACAGATATCTTTTCCCCAAAGCTAGTTTTGGACCATCCTATTCTTTCTGCTTGCTTTTCCTTGTGATGGTAGATGACTTTACATTGAACTTTTTCCCAGAGTTATGTTGATGTGTCCAATCATAAAACTAAATGTTTCCATCTTCGTTGACCTATTTAATTGGAACCATTTCATGTGCCAATTCATATATCATCTCTCCATAAAAATATAGAGTATTGTGTTATTAATAAACATATAGCATGTAATGCGTATATGCTGATGCTTATAACAGGCAGAGAGGGCTGGGAGAATCAGTGCTGGCACTTCATTTTCAACAGGAAAGCACTACCCCTTTATACAAGTCACGCTAGCCTCTTTCCTGACATCCCGCTACAATCATGACATCTCATGACAACTCAATAAATGTTAATGTGATGTTATTACTGAGGCGCCACACTAGACTCGCCTTTTTGTGATTAGTGCTCTTATAGACTTATTTTTACCCTAGTTTGCTGAAACTTTCCTATGAAAAATGGACTCGGACATCTCAGGCATCCTAAGTGCTGGTTAGAAAGGCACTGATTTAACTGGGCAAGACTGTGCTCAATAATTATAATTAGAATATATTCCTGAAGTGCCATCTCGCAATCCTTGGAGTTTTGGTCTTTCAGCTAGACATAGCTACAAAGGCAGATCAGTTAGAGAAGGCAGACTCCAAGCCTGCATGGAGAGTGCTGTCCCATTTTGCCGGTTCTGTGCAAAGAGTTCTGCCGTATGCTGGCTGCCCAAGGGCATGTGGGCTCTTCGTGAAATGAAACAGGGAACAAGTATTTCTGAAGAAGGAATAAACATTCTGTCTCCAATTAGGAACTAAAAAAGGAATTTGTTTATTGAGGGCAAGAGGATGCAAGCAATATAAAAATCAAAAGCTCATCTGGCTTTAACTAACTTTTCTTTCTGGGCCTGTCGAATGGGAATGGATTCTCTTTGTACATTTTCTAAGGGTCCCAATCTGCTCAGGAAATCCTTACACAGGGGGAAGCTGCGGGGCAGATTCCTTAAGCGACCCTTTGGCAGAACTCTTATCAGGGTGAGAGGAATTGCTCAATGCTGCCTACTTTTTTCCCTTCTGCTTCATGTGTACTACAAAATAGTCATTGCACGCAATGGTGAGCCCAGCAATTAGCGAAAAGAAGCTCTGGAAGCCCACTTTGCCATCTCGGCACTGATCCAGGTCCTTCATTATTTTGTCCACAGCCAGAGGGTCTTTTTGATTCTGAAAAAAATAACAAGGCAAGAATTATCAGTCAATGGTTTCAATGATGAGCTTCTTTGAGTTGTACTGCTGACAACCATATATATATATATATATAATCTCCCAATTATTTAAACTCTTCTTTTAGATCATAAGTGACCTTTGGAGGTCATCTAAATGTATTTTTCTACCTTGAGGGAGCATTTCACTAAATTCACATTTAGTTTAAGTAGGAAAGAGCTTTCCACGGCATTCTTGCATATAAGTATAGGGACCTTAGAAATGGCCTATTAAGATTCCATGCCAGAGAAGGTAGACTCAGGCCTCCTAATTCTCAGCCCACTGCTCTTGCCACTTCGAACTCAGCATGGCCTTCTGACTTGCTTTGCTTCCAGTTCAACTGTTTCCACAATTTTCAAAGTCACAAGATTCTGCCTAAGAATGACCTAAATTCCCCATTTTGTAGTTTAAGCTTACATTCTCTTAAGAAACTTTTATTCCTGATAGCATGGTCAAATCCTTTAAAAAGGAAACTCTTTATGAAAAGATCTCATAAGATTATTTAGGGAGTAAGTTTCAGATCATTGTCCTATGAATTTTAAAGAGGTGCTAATGATGCCACGGGGTGTGTTAGGTTTGGAGAGGAGGGATACAGGACCCCCATTTCTCCTCATTTCTTGGCACAGCTGAGGCCAAGCTAGTGTGGCTTCATGTCATATTAGCCATGTGACCTTGAGTAAGTCATACAGCTTAGTGGGCCTTCGTGTATCACTATGAATTGTTCACGTGATGGACCAAAGAATGTCTCTAAGATCGCTTCCATTCTTTATGAGTTGGTAAATCTGTGCCATCCTCTACTCTTCTTTGCTGGATGTTTTACACTGGATGGGCTTCAAAAGCGGTATGTGTGATGGAGGCATAAACTCCCCATGACTCTCAATGTCTGGTACAAATGTGTGGAACCGAGGCAGGTGGGCAGGATCCCCTTTGCTTTTTCTTTCATCTTGCTTCCGTGGTGATTGGCTTGATCATTCCTTTTCCTAGTGATGGTGGTTAGAAGTGGGAATGTGTGGCTTCTCCTATAGGGTCCATACCATCAACCAGGGAGGGAAATATGGCCCCCTAGAGGTGTGAAAGGGCTCAGGTAAAGTATTTAGGAATTCCACTGATTGTATACACGAGTGAGGGAACTGACACTCAGTGTCTCAAGGGTGCTAGATGTTTACAAATTGCACTCAGAAATCCCTTAAGGCAGCAGCATTTTCTACGTGAGGACTGCAAATTCCTGCCCTCGGCAATCAACTAAAACCTGCTCTATGCAGCTACCTCCCCTTTTGGTGGGTTTCAGTTAATTCTGGCCTCACCCCCAGCTTCCTGGCTGTGGTCAGAAGGAGTAAAATTTGGATGACAGAAGGGGTCAACTTTAGAAACAAAATGCTCTGTCAATGCAGCGAGTGTGGGTGTGCCTGGAATTACACCCCCACGCCTGGAATAAATTACACTGCTACGGTCAGTACTCTGTGCTACAGATACCCTTTATGTTTCTCATGCCGCAAAGCCTTTAGGGAGGAAGGGTCTGTGTTTCATGTGATATTCATCATCCCAGCTTCTAAATTATGCAACAACACAATTAACGAGCCTTTAGTATACCGAGAACGCCTTTGCTCATGTGATGGGCAGGCTTACAATGAGCACATTTTGTCCTTGCGTTTTATGCTTGTCTGGAAGGATCACCGAAAGTGAAAGCGACTTGGAGAGAATCATGTCCAGCCCTCTCATTTTACAGAGGAGGGAACTGAGGCCCCAAAAGCTGAAGCAACCTGCCCAGTGTTAGTTATGGCAGAGTCAGATCTAACTCCTGGTCTGGGGCTACATCATAGGACTGCACAAAAGCAGAGTAACAGTATATTCTAACACATTCTGGGACAGCATTGTGGTAACTGCAGCTCTGAGAGACTAGTCAGGCTATTTATATCTGTTTATTTAACTGGTATTGATGACAAGTAAATCATAGTGTACTACAAAACCCCATGTTCACTGACTCGGGAGTCAGGAGCTTGACTAATGTGCTATTTGCCAGGAAGATGACAAGAGGCAGGATCCAGCCTTTTACCATCATCTCCCTTCTCCCTTTAGAGGCTAACACATTATTCCACACCAAGCACAGTAACAATCCTTTCAAGTGACTCCAGTTGTGGCAGGGAAAGAAGGGCTTGCATTTCAATCTAATATTTTGTCAAGCAATGTTTTCACCTTTGGTGAAATGCAATGACCATCTCTTGAGGGCCTACATGTAAAAGGACAACTGTGCCTTGTGGCCTAATGTTCTGAGTGATGTATCTGAGCTGACGGCAGAGTCCTCTTCTAGTCTTCACAGACCCCTCAGTCTGCCAAAGGTGAGGCATAAACTCAAGCTGTGCTCCTGTGTTCTCACAGCATTTTCAATGTGAAAAGCAGTTATTTCTGGAGTGACACTTGGCTCTTATTCAGCAGATGCTTGACACCCTTCTTTAGATCAGAATTGGAAAAGATTTTTAAAAGCCTTTATCTGAAGGGATTTAAGAAGGGAGATTGAAGTTGCTCAAAGTGGATGTGACCAAGATGTGGCATCTCCAACACCAGGTTTACAGACCTGAGGACAACCAGGCAGCCTGGTTGATGACTCTCTGGTGAAAGGCCTTCTTTCCTGCAACTCTGTCTCAATGGACAAAGATGACACCAGATGGAATCTTTCTACCAAACACCTCATACTGTGGTTATTTGTGTGTAGTCTTATTTCACCTCCAAACTGTCAGCTCCTTGAGGGCAGGGGCTGTGTCTTCTTTACCTTCTGTTTCCCCTACAGTATCTTACAAACAGTAGGCACTCAATAATGTTTAATAAATAAATGAATGAAAACACATTTCTTATAGTGACCTTCACAGGGAAGGGATGGAAAGAGGAAAGGAAAGGAACCAGGGCCTAGAAGCATTGGCGTTTATGTCTGGTTCTTTCTGATCCTTTCAATACTTACTTCCAAAAATCCAGGGAACTCCTTTTCCATGAGTACTCTTAGGTCCTCCTTTGTTAAGTAACCTTTATCCCCAGCAAATTTGTGAAATGTGAACATCATGGTTTCCATGGCATGTTCCATTTGAGACGGCATTTTGGAGAGATCTGTTGAAACCTGTTAAAGGATGTAAAGAAACAGAGTTCACATTAACTTTTAAGCCACATATATTATCAGTCTTTTGAGGATAATTGGAAGGAGTATGATTAGATCATCCATTTAATCCTTTCCTGCTCTAAAATTCAATGGATCTAAGGACCAGTTCACCACAGGTGTTGGGCCTCCTGCTGTTGGAAATAGGCAGCTCAGGTAGTGGTGCTCTGAGTGAGTTTGTCTAGTTGCCCACTAATTCTACATAAATCACCTAATGAGAATAAAAACTCTCATCATTTGGAAAAGCAAGATCAGTGTCCCTCTTTTTAACTGACAAAGCACCTACTGAAAGAACAGATGTTTGATCATTTCTCTTGGTGCTGGTAAATGGGACTCTTACATATGACTGAATACCAACAACTCACACAGTCAAGCCTGGTTAACATAAAAACTTCAACCCTCCAAGCTTAACTAGGTAACCTGGTTCAGTCTAATTCTAGGGTTTAGAAATCTGCTTACAAATGAATTTTGTCTGCTGAGCATGTATTCTTTACTAAAGTTCAGAATTTGTTATTGATTACAACAAAGATATTTGCATCTTTGTAAGTAAAATGCAGTTGCTTTACCCAAATAAAAGCTACCTAAAGCATATTATCTAGTTCCTTGAAAAGGAAACAGTAACAGTATATCCTAAGGCATTTGGGGGCCTGATATATTTTTGGCAGCACTAGACAGAAGAGCTACTCTCACAGTCTGGGATGCAGTGAAAGAGCAAGAGCTTTTCATCATGAAGAGTTTAAAAGAAAGGAAAGGAAACATGTCAGATCATTATATTCATGTATAATCATCTGAGGGCATATTGTCTCATCAAGACCCAGTGCCTGCTACTTAATAGGAGCTCAATGGATTTTCGCTTAATTAGAAGGCATGCTTTGGCCAGAACCGAGTAGCTTTGGCTAACATCACCTAAATTCACTACTGGATAGGAAACAGGTGAACTTGAATGACGACTGTAATATACTACTCCAAAAAAAAAAAAAAAAAAAATCAGAAGACTAGGTTTTGAGCACAGGTTGAAGGAGAGGCTGGCACCTTCCCCTGCTGAAGAATGCCAACAGGAACCTGAGATATGCTTTCAGTCTGCTTCCCGCTGCCGACAGATGAGCGTTCAACGTGGATCCCTAAATGCTATCTTTTAGAGAGGAGAAGGTGGAGTTGGTGAACAGGAGGATTGAGCAATCACACTTAAGAATAGTAAATGATACCCCTTAATCCCCAGAAAAGTACAGGAACCAGCATGCCAAAGAATGTGCTACTCTAGAGATGCTATAAACCAGAACCTGGTATGATTCATCTGGAAGACAGTTCTCTTGGAGAGAGCAGCAAATTAATGCTTCAAGATCCACCATGAGATGAATTCCAGGGGAACCACACCCTTTCCCCTCTCTTCCTACACAGCTGGGATCTGGCTCATCCCGCATCCCCCATATGGTTTCAGATGGCAGTGGGCTTAGCGGGAGTCAGCCTTGCCTGGATTGGTTCTGGCATAACAGCAGCTGAAGAGAACTGAACTGAGCGAGTCACCTATGGAAGAAGGATGTGGGATCCCATCCCAGTTCTGAAACAACTCAGGAAAGGAGTCAGCCGCCACAGAGGTTTAAAAATACCTGTGCCCAAGCTCAGAGCTGCAGAGCACTCCAAGACCAATTCCTAAAGATCCCAGAAACTGGAACTGGCTATGGGACAAGTAGTTCACTTTCTTCACAGGGCAAAGCAGAGGGAAGTGCAGTGCAAAGCCAGAGAAGAAAGAAAGGGAATGCAGTGGGGTAAGGAGCCCTAAAATAGGAAAATAGGCTAATTTAGGAACATCTAAGAAATACGAGTTGTAAGCTGAGGAAATCCTGGCCACCTTTGAATATCTTCTTCAAGAGAGTGAGGCCAGCCTGACCTGAGTGAGCGCTCAGGTCTCAGGCCACTCCAATCCCACTCCTCCTTGTCCGGCTCATTATGAAGTGATGGAGCTTTCCTCTCTGAAGCCACATCCCTGCCCCTCTGGATCCTCCTCCACTCCTCCCCCTCACTATTTTATTCAGCAAATTGGTTGTGAATACAGCAGCCAGCTGCCTCCCTATTTGTCCGGTAGACCTTTTGCAATAAGAATGCAGAACAGGGGTAGCCAGGAGATCTAAGGTCGTGAAGGTGAAAATATGGTTGAAAACCAGAGATGTCCACCGTCTCATCAGTAACCAGGGCCCCAGAAGTCACTGACCAGGGCCACGAGCAAGTTATTCTGTTTTGAAGGAGGAGCCAGAGCACTGGTTTTAAAGTAAGACGAAGGAAAAGGGGAAAATGTTGTGATTAAAACTGTTCTCTTGGCTAGTGGCTGAATCATGTAGCTCTTCTCCAAGTGCAGCGGTTGCCCCACTGAGTCAGCCCTGCCTGGCCTGGCCCTCCCGTCTTGGGTGGGGCCGCCTGGGCCGGGCTGACTGCAGCGCTGACTGTTGGTTGCTAAAGCAGCAGTCCAGGGACTTGAATCTGGCGTTTCCATCTCCCCAGCCATCCAACAGGCTCCACAGCCGGGTAGAGGTCGGATACCCTTTGGAGGGCCCTGGGGGTGGGGCTGAGAGGCAGCAGCATTCTCTCTGTGCCCCAGACGACTTACTCCTGCACCTGAAACACTCAATCCATTTAATCATTTATCTGTCTGTCTCTCTATCTTAGACTGAAGCTCTAGATTAATAACTGTGAGTTATCCTGTTTTATCCATGAACCACTAAATAAGTGTTTGCTAAAGGAGCAAATAAATGAATCAAACAATCCCCTTGGCAGGAGCTGAGGTGCAGGTGTGATTACCGAGGTCTGGGCTGAAAACCTTGTAGCTTAGAGCTCAGCGGGAGGATGTGAGAGCTGGGAAGGGCCAGGAAAGGGGCCGCCTCTGAATGGAACAGTAGAGTACAGAGGAAAGCACATTCCATAAGCAGAGGGAAAAATATGTGTCCTGCTAAACAGGTCTGGTCAGACCCTGACCTGACTTCTCTCTCTCTCTTCTCACTCTTGTTGTTTCCTGGTGTTTTGGTTCATCCCACTTTCTACTCCACGCTTCTCTAGCTCTGTGAGCTCCACAGAATGTAACTACCTCATTGTTCACTCATCTTTCATTGAATCATTTTATTCTGACGTCTGTAAATCCCCTATACATGTTTGCCTGGGCAACAGGTCTTAAGAGTGGAGGCTCGGAAGTCTATAATCTTTCTCTGTGTGTTTTCCCAACTGAAAAAATTCTGGACTCCACAAATTTAGTCACAGTGGTGGGAATTCAATTTTCCATTTTTGGTTCTCCTACACTAAGCAACTACTTTGCATGACCTGATCATGGCATTAGGCACACTCGCTCACGAGCGCAAACACACACACACACACACACACACACACTCCATGGTGCTTGCCTTTGAGGAGTTCACCAGCTAATGGCATACTATTTAAAAATATGTCCTGAATTCTACTTAACTGTGTTTCTATTTCTTTCCCCTCTAGACTAGGGACTCCTTGAGCAGGGTCCCAGTAGCTAGCGCACTGCCCTTATAGCACCTGCTCAATGAATTGGTAAGAATGAAACTGACAATAATGTAAATTTTGATCCTCCTGGGAGTAGCAGGGAAGCAGGAGGCCTCCTTAGAAAAGTGTCTGCTCCTGAGCAGTCCCAAATGTTTGCTCTGGACCCACGCCCAGATCCAGGCCGTAATTTCAAAAAGGACACTTCTAAAGAGCAAGAGGTCTGATTTACTTTGCTCTTCTGTGTCTTGTCCATACCCTAGTTTTCTTACAGCCCACCCAGAAAATAACTGGCAGGGTGTCAGTAAAAACAAACATCTGTTATTTAAAATGTGTTTGAGGTTTCCTTCCTTTTGCTTTAGCGATTTTAAGATGAAGAAAACATTTTTTTGGAGGGGAAAATTGAACCCAGAAGGCATTCTTGAATTTGATCCCTAAAGACAATTCAGAGAAAATGAGTTGAGGCAACGGATCTGGATCCAGGTTGTCTCTCCCACCTTTCAGCAAACATAAAATTTGCCCACTAAAAACGTGGGCAGCAAAGGAAAAGTTTCAGATGCAATCCAATAGGAAGAAAAAACTCAAAAGACTTCTCTACCCCAACGGAGTATATCCATTTTTCCTTGGAGTTGTCAGGCATCAGCCGGAATTGGCAAACAATAGCCACTGTGAGAACTGCTATTAAAGCCATTGGTGGGTCAGGTGGTAGTTATTTCTTGAAAGGGCTAGGAAGTGCTGAAAATTGTTAAAAATAAGTAAATTCATTCTTTTTACTTTTGATGTGAGATTCCTAAATTGTTGAGTCCCAGGAAAATGAGAAGCTTAAGAAAGATCCTAAAACTTCAGTCCAGTTCTCCCAGCACTCTGAGTGCTAATTTATACATTATAACCCTGAAAGAATTCCATTGTTCCCTCAACTTTAATAGACTGGACTGTGTCCAAGGCCATACCAAGTGGGTAGTGCTCTAAAAAAGTCACATTTTTGGAACTGTCAGTGGAAAGCAGGGAGGCACCCAGTCTCAGCTCTACTCAGCCCAAGACTTAACATCACTGGGTAGCTGCTTGTGGGGCTAGCCTGAGTCCAGATATGGGAGGAAAAGGCCCATCTGATTGTATGCAGGAAAAGCCAGGGAAGAGCATCACCTAGAAATCAAAATGCTTTATGCCCAGCAGACCCTCAAGAAAATATCAAGAACTGAAATAAGAAACTCCATATGGTAGATCAAGGACCACGATGAAGAAAGTAGCTTCTGGCTATCAAGGAAGGCATATACTATTGAGAAGAGATGATTAAGTAGACACTGGATAAGAACCTGTGGGGGCAGGGCTGATGAAGAAATTTCAAATGAGTTATATGAACTCATTCCTGCCCCAATCCCTGGCGCTATCTTTTGCAATTTGCTGAAACACGTTGGAGGCAAAGATCACTGACACGGTGTTTCCATGAGCCTGGCCTCACCTGAAGTGCAGGATATAAAAATCCACTTGGTTGAAACACAAGCTGCAGGGGAAAAAAATCTGCAGCAGTGCAAACCTCTTAACGGAAAAGCAACCTCCCAAGTAAAGCTGAGGCAATCCGCCAGCAGGCACACTGGCTGATAACCCAGCAGCGGTCTCACCAAGGCCCTGACAATCTAACTGCTGCCCTCACCCACAGTTCAGTCAAGAAACCTCTCCTTCAGATTGCCGGCCAGTTCTGGTGTGACTCACTTCCTCTTGGAAAATGCCCTCTAAGATGGCACAGTTCCCCTTTTCCTTTAGGGAGCATTCTGTCTGAACCATCTGCAGAGAGAATCTGGAGCCATCAGGGCCACACCCACATGGTCTCACAGCTGAGTCACAGGCCTCCACTAGGAGAATCTGGGAGCCCTTTTTGTGCTAACCACGCCCTGCAGAATGCTTCCAGCTCCCCAAGGGAGGGAAGGGGGGTGTGCTTAATGTATTCCAGAGTCTGGCCTAGGGCTCTTTGTAGCTGGTCCGTAACTGCTCCACTTTCCTCACCACCCCCACCCAACATGGCAGCATCCCGGTTTCAGTTAGGTGGAGACCAGCTGGGGCTGGGGAGCGCCATTCCTTTAGCCAACTCAAGTTGTGACCAGGTACCAACAGCACGTCTCTCTCTGTCTCATTGCACTGGGCCAGATTAATCTAGTTTGGAAGATCCTTCACCAAGCCTCCTCTTCCCCTATCTCTTTATAGTTCAACTAGTTTGATTAAGGTAGCAAGAAGGGAACCCTTTCAATAGGGAAATCACTTCGCATAGTGCCCTCTCCCCCACTGCCCCCTAGCAAAACTGCTTTATAAAGAAAACAAATATATCTTCCTCCCTGGGCAGTAAGAACCTTCCTTTCTAGCAGACAAACAACAGGAAGCCCAACCTGAAGCCTGTGGGCGAGGGACTGAGAAGTGTCCCTTAGGAAGGGAATCCGCCAGCTGCCAACCCGCCCTGCCCTCCCCATGCCTGCTCGGGCCGTCCAGCTAGGAGGGTGGGAACATCTGGGCGGAGGTCAGCCTGCAGCCAGAGCCCACAAAGCAACATGCCGGCGAGGACGCGGGAGAGACGTGGGGGTTCGGATAACTCGGGAGACTAATCCAAAGTAGGAAAGTGGGAGTAAAGAAAATTAAACAGGGAGGAGAAAGCAGATCGCGGGGCACCATCGCCCAGGTCCTGCAGGAAAGGACAAGTGTCCCGTCCTCCCGTCCGCGAGGATCTAGGGAGGGGTCGCGCCGGGCCGGACAGGGGTGCGCTCGCCTCGCCTGGATGTAGCCCAGAGCGCGGAGCAGCGGATACCCCTCAGCCGCCCCCCGCCCAGAACCGCCGGCGCCCGACCACCCCGCGAGGCCGGCCCGGTGGGCCAGAGCAGCCGATGTTCCCGCCGAGCACCGGGTCCGGGGCTGGAGACAGCCCGGGGTCGGCGAGCAGAACTCACCTTAGCCGGAGGCGCAACGCAGACACTCGGCGGCTGGGACGCGCGGCCAGTGAAGAGAGCGCGGCGGGCAGGGCGCTTTAGTACGTGGGGGTGGGGGGAGGCGGGAGGAGCCTGGGCCGGTGTCGGGGCCTCGGCTCACCCCACCCCTTCTCCTCCCTCCTCTTCCTGCCCCCACCCCCCACATGGGCGCAGCGCGCACACCCTGCTCTCTGTGAGGCTGTGCAGAGAGGAGCCTCGCTCCTGGCCTCCCCCCGCCCCCAGTGAGAGCTTTACAGGACGTGTTGTAAACTTCTCTGCCTACTGGAATGCTCTCGTACAGTTCAGGACATCCCTCCGCACCCTCGGCCGTGCCCTTCCTCTCGGGTTTGGTTTTAGAAAGTGAGTGAGTGTGGAAATCAAAGAATCCAGACGTTCTGCGGGTGGGGCTCGCTGGCCCGGAACCAGATGTAAGCGGCTCTTCGGTAACCTACAGGTCTTGGAATTTCTGTTTTCTAGATGACACTGCAGGGAGGGGGCACGTGGAGTGCTAACGACCGCGCGGGCGTCAGGCTGGGTTGTGCTCAGATTAGGCCCTAGGAGGTCGGTACGGAGGGGCTTCGCGGCCTGCGCCCGCGGGTCCGCGGGCATCTGGAATAAGCCGAGGTCCCTGCCCCCGCCTGTCCCGCGGGCTTGGGGCAGAGAGGGTGCAGTTCGGCTTGTCAGCTCGAGGGCGTTACAAACCCTCTGTTGACCAGGGATTTACCACTCTTGTGTATGGCTTCACTTGGTCGATAGTTCAGCTTCAGTTGTGGTTGATACTGTTAAAACCGAAGATTCAAACCCTGCTTCTTTCTGTCCTGTACTTCGCCTGTTTGGTCCTTTAGAAGAAATTTCTGGAAGAAATTTAGAGACTACCTAAGTGTTTCCTAGCGGATGGTATTCCCCTTTCCCTCTTGACATTTATTTTAATTGTGGTTTAGGGTTAAATGCAAACTACTAGCAGCTGTTGGTGGAAATGGGCCCAGTCCCAAGTCCTGGGTTTTCCTTTGTTCCCAGGGGAGGTCCTCAGAGGAGTGAGTGATCCCGAAGGAATGAGCAGACTCAGGGAATCCTCCAAGTGTCACCATGTGACTACTCTTGGCTCTTGCCAGGAAAACCCAACTTGGATTTCAGCTCTCACTCCCGCTGAGTTCCTGCGACCTTGGTGCTGACTGTTCTGGGGGCAGTTCTTCAAACTCTTCCCATATGCTTCCCAAGTTCTTCCCAGGCCCCAGGTTGCAGTCAAGAGTGGAGAAAATCCTGGATCCCTTTATTCCCAGGGAAGATGCAACTGGATTTAGAGTGACAACGCCTGAGTTTATATACTCCTGCTTATTTGATTTCATTTGATTCACAAACCTTTAGGAATGCTTAGTGTGTGCTAGGCCCTGGAGATTCAGAGGTTAAAGAATCAGTCTCTTCCCTCAAAGAGCTTCAAGTCTTGTTGGGAGAAAGATAAGTAAACAATTAAAACCCAGCATGCTCAGTGAATGGTAGAGGACACTATCAGACATTATAAGAACGTTGAGGAGGGGCCTGCAAGTCCCCTTGGAGTGGTCACAGAACTATTCCTGGAGGAGGCAACATTTGATAGATGCTTTAAAAATAACAATGACACTCTTGCCTTTTAAATCTGATTGTAAAAAAGCTTACATTCTTATTGTAGAAGGTTTGGAAAATATGGCAATGTATAAAAAAGAAAATACAATTATTTATAAACCCGTGAACCAAAGATGAACACTTTTATGTCTTTCCTTCTAAGTCTTTTCATGCATATATAATATATATTTACATAACTTGGGGACTTGGGGGAAAATTATTATTATTTTTTGAAAATTGAACCAAAAGGGCATTCTTGAATTTGATCCCTAAAGAGAATTCAGAGAAAATGAGTTGAGGCAACAGACCTGGATCCAGGTTGTCTCTCCCACCTTTCAGCAAACATAAAATTTGCCCACTAAAAAAGTGGGCAGCAAAGGAAAAGTTCCAGATGCAATCCAATAGGAAGAAAAAACTCAGAAGCCTTCTCTACCCCAACGGAGTATATCCATTTTTCCTTGGAGTTGTCAGGCATCAGCCAGAATTGGCAAACAATAGTCATTGTGACAACTGCTATTAAAGCCATTGGCGGGTCAGGTGGTAGTTATTTAGTGAAAGGGCTAGGAAGTGCTGAAAATTGTTAAAAATAAGTAAATTCATTCTTTTTACTTTTGATGTGAGATTCCTAAGTTGTGATCACACTGATTATAAAATTACGTACAGTATTCTATTTTCATCCTGTAATGCTTTATCTTGACTATTTTCTGTCAAATATTTATCAAGAGCATGAGTGTTCATTCATTTATTCATTATTATTGTTTTTTTCATTGAACAGGTAACTATTCAACTACACTGTAGCTTCTCTACTCTTCTCCAGCCTGCCAGCCAGACTCTAGGGCTCCCAGGCCCTACTGGCTGCAGCTCCACAAGATGGAAGAGACCTGGGTTTCTGAAACACTGTGCTAAGTGCTGTGGATATAGTGGTGACAATGGTCAGCATGATGGACATTATCCCTGCCCTCTTGTGGCGTTTTATAACTCTGTGTACCGATAGGTCAAGAAAGCTCTAAGTACCTGCCATGCCAATACTCTCTCTCTAGGAGAAGTGGTCCCAGGCAGTTCTTTCTCCAGAAAGTGGTATGCGTTGTAAACCACATGCACGTGGTGGAGCCAGCTCTGTTTCCCTAGTGACAACTGATGGGACCAGGGACCAGCATCTGAGTCAGAGCTGACCAACAAGGAGGTTGGGGTGGCAGAGGGTGAAGGAGAGATGTGTGGAGAGGAGCAGACTGAATGGCCATCAAAGGAATGGGCACAGAGGCCCAAGCCAGTATGGTCCCTGGACTGAAGATGAGGCAATGTTCAAGTTCTCCACCAGGCCTGTGATACACTCAGTGTACAAAAGGCCAGGAGCAGGAGGCATTGTTTTACTAATGAGGCACTATTGGGTATTTTCCCACTTCTCCATGTGGAAACAAAACCGTTACCCAATGGTTCTCAACTTTTTTGGGTTTGTGGCTGTAGCAAAGAGGGTGGATTGTCCACCAGAAATGTGTGTTCTTCCCGTCATAGTGTAGAAGTGTTGCTGGGAAGTGGCTGCTCAGCCAGGGATTGTGATCCTGGCAACTCTTGCACCTAGGTAAGACTCTGACTAGTCACCAACAGAATGGAACTGGAAGTGATGTGTCACTTGCAGGCCAAGGTGGTTAAGAGGTGACTGTTCCACATTCTTTCTCTCCATCTGCTGGACTCTGAGGCTCTAGGAGTGGAAGAGCCACAATTGGAAGGAGCTTGGGTCCCTGAATCACCAAGTGGAGGAAAACCACCAGCTGACCAGGAATGCCCTCATTGGACTAGTTATGTGAGTGAGGAAGAACCCCAGGATTTGGGGGTTTATTTGTTACGGCATAACTCTAACGAATAGAGTGGCATTCTTTTGATGCTAGTATTTCTGGCAGCACATTCAAAAGGATTAAGTTGCATGTATAGTATGTACTGGTAGGTCAATAAAGGTCAATTATACTGATCACACTTCAGCAACGTGTCAGTGTTTGAGTAGGATTTACTGCTCTGATCACTCTCTCTTAGATACTCATGGGGCAAAGTTCTCACAGGTCCTGGCAAGCAAGTTTCTTTGTGTGTATCAAGTCGTGCCCTGCACCACACAGAAACTGTGTGCAGCCTAGCTCAACATTCTGTCTGCCCAGACATGGCGTGAATAACAGTTGTAGCAAAAGGAAACTTTATCTGTCAATTACCAAGCCCTAGTAAGAGTCACAGCAGTACCCCATGGCACTTCTGTTGAGGACCACTGATTTACAGTTGCTTGGTCAATTCTTTTTGCTGGCAATCCAAAAAACAAAACAAAACAACAAACCCTCAAGGGTGGATATACTAGTACATCCTAAATAGGGAAATATAATTTATTAAATGTTCCCTATATTTTTTGAACATTTAGGTTGTTACCAGTTTTTTACTGTCATAAATAATAATTATGTATAAAAGGACTACTTTTGAATAAACATCTTTGCCCACATGTTTATTTCTTAGGGTAGAATCCTCTCAGGGGCTTTTGTTTGTCTGTTTATGTGGATCTTAAAGGACAGGTAGGAATTGGCCATGTTCTTTGGGGGCAGACAGGAGGGAAAAGCACGTGTGAGATCATGGAATTGTGAGGTAGCGCATCTCTTCTAGGAATTGACCCCAGTTCTGCATGGGGTTGTATGAAGTCCCTTAGGGCTTTGGACGGGGATGAGTCTGGAGATGAGCTGCCTTTCCTGGGACACCTGAGATAATCTGCTAAGGAGTTTGGAGCTCCTTTCTGAAGGTAACAAGGAGCCACTGGAGAACGTTAAAGGGAGAGGGATGCCATGGCGTACCGGTTAAGTGTGCAGGCTCTGCTGCTGGCGGCCCGGATTTGGATCCCGGGCGCGCACCGAGGTACCATTTGTCAGGCCATGCTGTGGCGGCATCCCATATAAAGTGGAGGAAGATAGGCATAGATATTAGCCCAGGGCCAGTCTTCCTCAGCTGAAAGAGGAGGATTGGCATGGATGTCAGTTCAGGGCTGATCTTCCTCACAAAAAAAAAAAAAAAAAGGAAAGGGAGAGGGATGACTCTCCCACTTACCAGCTATGTGGCTCTGGGCTCTCACCACTGAGAACCTGAGTCTCCTTATGGGTAAAATCAGGTTAGACACCTGTCTTCTGGGGCAATGGCATAGAATGAACTGACTAATAACCATGAAGGCATCTGGCTGGGCCCCAGCAGGCAGCAGGTTCTGGATATGACCATGAAGGCATATGGCTGAGCCCCAGCAGGCAGTGGGTTCTGGATAGCAGATCCAGCCTCTTTGTGATCCCTCACTCTGTGGAGCAGAAGCTTTAAGGAGGCCAAGTGGGGCTATGGCATGGCCCAAGCTCTCTGGTGTATGATTTGTGGGTAAACGCCTTTGAGCAGACTTCCCTCTAGGGCGCCAGGACAGCTCTAC